GGCTCACCTACTACCAGTTTATTGACTTCTGTTGGTAGCGGCAGCAATCCGTCCTCCTTCATGAGGTTTGGAAACGTCTTTACCAGCGTTACAATCCTTTCCCTCTCTATCCCAGTTTCCACCGTCTGTGTAGCTTTCTCCTCACCCAAGTCTCCTCCTCCCTTCTTCTCCCTCTCCTCTTTTATACCTTCATCCCATCTCCAAGTTCCTGACTCCTCCCCCCAGTCCATGGTTCTCTTGGCCAGAAACACTTCTATTGCTTTATTTGTTATACCCTCTTCGTCATCTAATTTAATCAACTCCCCCACCACACATCCTTTGCTTTCTTCTCTCTCTGGCATCTGCGAGGACGGCTCACTTCTCTGCCTCCACTCACACTACTATAATTGTATATATGTTGTTGTTAGCCGCTCAGAGTGGTATAGATTTACCAGATGGGCGGGGTATAAATCAAATAAATACATAAAATAATAAATAAATACAAAACATATTCACTATCATCATTTCACACAAACCCAAATCTGCTAGCATTGCCCCCCCCCCAATTCCACATGTGTCATTCCAGTGAGCACTGGATATTTCATCCTGTTAGGACAGAACATAAGGTTTTCTGTTTCCCTTGTGGCTTCTATTAATCCTCCATGAACGACCATGACCTAGTATCAGATTTCCCATAGTTTTACACAAACATATCAGTGGTTGGGCCTCTCTGTTTTCTCATGTATCTGGGCTTCCTCCTGTGTTATTCAGCAGGCCTGCAAAATCTTCCTATTCTCAGTTAGAAAGACTCCCACTTTAAACCTCCCACTTCTTCAGCAAAACTTTCCTGAGTCATTCTGTTCTTCAGTGTCATATGATTCCAACATACCTAAAACTCTTATGTCAGTTGCCAATCTCTTCAAGTCCCAAGTTAACCATCTATCTATAGAGCATAAAGGTGACAGAACACAGAAATGTTTTTCCTCCTGGAAGGTATACTCTGAGAACTTTCTGAATAGGGAACAGTAGTCAGATTTTTTTCTGGAACCAGTCTTAGCCCTTTAATACTACCCTAACAACAACACCTACTCATGATCAGCCATTCACTCCCTTTTCTAGCACTTCCAGTGGTGGCTCTTCAATATCCCTCCCAGATTAATATCAAAGGAAAAAAATTCAGAACATCTGTGAATCTTGAAGGAACAGCAGAAAATGGCAGGATTATATTGTGGAAAGAAATAACTACAGTGGTGCCTCGCTAGACAATGATAATCCGTTCCACTGAAATCGCTGTTTAGCGAAATCATTGTCTAGCGAAAAGCATTTCCACATTGGAATGCACTGAAACCTGTTTAATGCGTTCCAATGGGGAAGAATCGTCGTTGTCTAGGGAAGATCGGCCATAGGAAAGCCGCTTTCCGAGCCGCCGATCAGCTGTTTAAATTGCTGTCTTGCGAAGCTTATGTTCCGAAAACACCTGTTTTGCAAGCGCGGAGGGAGCTGTCAAAATCGTTGTCTAGCGAAAATTGGTTTGAGAAGCAGGGACCAAACACTGTCCAGTGAAATTCCCCCATAGGAATCACTGTTCTGCAAATTGCTATAGCGATCGCAAAAAGTCAATGTCTAGCAAAAAAACTCTCATTCGGGGTAACTGTCTAGCGAGGCACCGCTGTACTTCTTTTTTTAAATGGATGGAACTGCAGGAAAGTCTAGCTTGTGAACACCAGAGAACTGGCTTACTAGGAAATGACTTAATAGGCTATGGATTGGAGTTGGAACAGGCAACTTCACATCTATGTCAGCATATTATATGCCCTTCAATACGGTACTACAAAAGATCTAGTGTTAATGCTCTCAATGTGGCCCACTACTGGGTGAAAATTATCTAACGTATTTATTAATTGTAGTGTGATGTTTCTGACATGAACAAAGCTTGCAATCTGTATGATCCTTTTAGTGGTTCGATAAAAGTGCCACCTAACTCTTGCATTTGTATAATCTTGACCCGTACAGCCTTTTCCTAATTCTTTCTGAACAAAGAAAGGACAATCAACAGCTAAAAATTAACATTTTGTCTGATAGAAACAAAAATAAAGCCTTCTCTAAATTCACTTCTACTGTATTTTTACCATATTTTCTACTGTATATTCTACTGTGTTTTCTTCTAGTTGCACTTCCACAGTCTCTATAAATTAATGATTAAGTGTCACAAAGTCAATTCAGACTTATGGGAGTCTTGCCAGAGTTTTCTAGATATAAAATCCTTAGCAATGGTTCACTAGTCTTCCCTCCCATAGGACTGTGCAACTTGCCCATGGCCACACAGGTGGCAGGGCACATAACTTTATCAACCACTCAAGTTCCAAAGGATTCTGGTTGACCAAGGTCATGGCTGTTTTTGATCATCCCTGCTGATATTTGCTAAGAATGAACACTTTGACAGCACATAACTGATCACAACAGTATGTAAGTTCTGTAACCTGATTTGAGATCCTGTTATATAGGGCTGGCTATACATTCTTTAAATAAATAAGCAAGCAGGCAGGCAGGGAACTACTACGCAAGGCAAACCTTTCAAGCCTACAGAAGAACTAAACAATGGCCAATTAATTATTCAATCAAACACAATATCCATGTAGATTTAGGAAAAAACACATATAGAATGTATTCCATCTTCCGAAACATCAATGTATTTCTCCAGAAACAACATTTCAAAGCTTCAACATATATAACATCACTAAAATTGAAGGTACTGTACATGATTTCAAATCAACAGTACAAACCCTGTATACCACTTTTCCTAAATAGGGTGGGTGGGGACATATAAAAAGCAATGGCTCTTATGTATGAGGTATTTCATTTTTATATAAATTATACAAATTATTTATTTTCCTTTGTATCAAACCCAGGACAATATTTAAGTTTATCCCAGTTTCATATTCCCTTTCTTTGTGTACAAATGAAGTCATTTAAAAAGTCTTCCCCTTTCCATTTCATTCAAATAAACTCCGTAATTGCAAATCCACATGCAACTTACTCTGTGATACAACAAAATTAGTCCTCCCTTTCAAAATTTTTAAAATTTATTTTGTTTCTTTTCAAAGGACCAGTTATTTGTTTTGCTCCTAATAAATTAATACAAATGCACATTAACAAACTAGCTGACAATCTTAAGGGAAGTTCTATCTAGGTCTTTTGTTAGTGGTGTTTACTTTCCAGGTAAATAGCAGTGGATCTTATGGGAATACATTCTAGGAAAAGAAAGATTCTGACTCACAAATCTGATGAAGCCGATTTCTGATGAAAGCTTGTGTAAGAATTATGTGTTCCATGCTAAACATATCACACAGGGAAGAAATTCTAAGGCAGGATAAACTATTTCAAAGCAATGCAATGCTAGGTTAGTAATTTAAATTACTACATTAAATTTCCACTACATTTCTGCCTTTAGATTTTTTTATTTTATTAAGCCATACATGTCCTAAGTAGGAATGCATACAAACTGTTTGCCATAACATTTTACACACTGATTTACAATAAACTAAGTATAATTTAGAAACCTTTGCTCATGACCTAATACATCTTTTACATTACAGTATACAGTATTATCTGTCTAAAGACAAGGAGGCAACTTTAATATTTATTCAATTTTTTTGTTCAGGTCATGTGCTAATCACACAATTCAGTGTGTGACTAGGAATATTAGCAGCATCTTGTTAATCAGTGGGAATTTGCTGCCACAATTTACATAATTACACTCACAATGGCATAAATCCGCAATAGGATTCTAGCCATTATCTATTGTTCCATACTTAATAATATTTGAAGCTGATAAATCAAATATTTTTGTCAAAGAGTTTTATTTTCTGCTGATGAGCAGGCTTTAATTTAGCATGTTTTGAAAGCAAATCATGCACTTACATTTTTAATGGATTACTATGTATGGATGTGAAAAACGCAAAACGAAGAAAGTTAATCATTTCATTTAAAATGTGATGTTGAAGAAGAGCTTTAGAGATATAGCTGACAAGGAAAAAAGTGAACTGCAGAGTAAGTCAGGTCTCAGCTCCCAACAGAAACGAAAACTAAACCATAAAAAGACAAGACTCACTGGAGAAAACCCGAATGCAAAAAAAAGTAGCAAACACTAAGACAACAGGAAATCGGAATATGAGATGAATCTGCTTAATAAAGGAATCTACAGCCTTCAGTTTACAGGGTGTGATCAGGGCTTTTAATAATAAAACTTTTTGGAGATGCCATATGGTGGAAGCAACTTGTTGGTACATAATAGGAAATATGAACAGTGCAATCCTAGGCATGTCTACTAGGTTATTTCCACTTAGTTCTGTGAGGCTTAACGCCAGATAAATAAATACAGGATTGCAAAATATTGCATGCTTTAACATATGATTCCAATATAAAACATCTTCAAGCTTCATTTCGACCCAGACTGATCGTGATCCGAGCGTCTTTAAAAATGCAACACCTTATAACTGAGAACTCCCAAGGTTCTAATAAACTATATTTCTTTTTTTAAAACTGTTTCGTGTCCCTCACACACATCCCGAGAATTTTGTACGTGTTTTGAACGGAAGCCTTCAATGCACTCCCCTTTTTCCTTCTCCCATCAGGGAAATAATTCCCGCACCCGGTCTGTGCCCGAGAAACGACTGCACAGACATCCCATTTCTCCTCAAGAGATTTCATGCCTCCTTAATGGAGGGGCTCCAGGGCGGAGAAGATGGAAAAACAAAGATGGAGGCGGGGGGGAGGTGAAGGAGGAGGAGGAGGAGGACAACCGGAGGCTACGACCCAACCAGCCTTCCTCTCCAGGGCCGGAAAGACAACGAGGGTCCAAGTCCCGGCGGGCGGCGTCCACTCCAATCCCCCGGCTCCACAACGTGGTCAAGGTCTCGGTCGCCGACCACCGAAGGCCGCTTCCTGACCGCGAAAGAAAGGAAGGAAGGGCAGCAGAAAAAGTCAGCGAAGCAGTTCGTCTCGCCAAGCCCGTTACTTACCTCTCCAACCGCCGCGGGCGACGCCGGGCCTCCTCCTCCTCCTCCTCCTTCCCCCGGCGCCCTCAGCCGCTCCACAAGTTCCGGGTGACTGGGACGCATGCGCCGAAGCCGCACGGGCCGAGGTTGGTTTCCCTCCGGAAACTCGGGTACGGATCCCTACGAGGGACGAAAAAGTCAAAAACTAGGGATGGTTCGGCCGCCACGAAAGGGGGGGGGTTGCGCGTCGGAATGCCTGCGCTTAAGCGAGCCGTCCGCCGCAGTGCAATTTACGGCCGCTTCATGTGCTGTAAAAGGTAGACGTTTGGCTGTGGAGCTTGGAAGGAAATGGCTGTTAAGCAGCACAACGGACTGCCAGTAGTTGGAGTTTGGGGACCAGAGGACGGGTCTGAGGACTTTCGCCGATGACGGGAAGGGCTTTCCAGTTGCAGACATCATTGTCTTTGAAGGGCGTTTTAAACGGATTTTGAAAGTTGTTCAGATTTTATGCCATACATTCCTTCCTAAATGGCAAATAAAATTTTTCTTTGTGTCTCTGTGTGTGGAAAATATTTGAAGACGCAATATCAGTATCGGCAACTAGAGGGATCAAGAGTATTATTTCCTAATATTTTAAAAGTCGGCTGGTGACGAGAATACGACACGTTAATAACGTTTAACAGGGCAAATAGTTTCTCTGATTGGACTATGGGAATGGAATGGAATTTTAATTATCGTCAGCCGCCCAGAGACCTCTGGGTAGAGTGGGCAGCATATAAATAAAATAAAATAAATATGTAACTTTTTAAAAATAACATTATGAGAGCTGTATTCACAACTAGAAGTATTTATTGGTATACGTATTTATTTTATTTCATTTAAAATATTTTTATCCCGCCTTTCTCCTTGAAAAGAACCCAAGGCAGCGTACATGATTAAAAAGACAATATGTAGAAGCTAAAAACAGTAGGTATACAAATATTAGAAAATAATTAAACAAGTATTACATTTCAAACAATAATAAAATCAATACTAAAACACATTTAAAACAACAGAGCACAACTATTCATTTAAAAACCCCTATCAGACCACCAGTTATTAAGGGAAAGCCTACCTAAACAGAAAGGTCTTTGCCTGCTTGCGGAAAGGGCAGCAATATTTGGGAACTGCTGTCCATGTAATCAAGTTCTTGATTTATTATTTATGTATTTAAAATATTTTACCCCCACCTTTCTCCTTAAAAAGGACCTATGGTGGCCTCCATAATTGAAAACACGACATGAAAAGCTAAAAACAGTAAATTGTCCCAATATAAAAGAAAAATTAATAACCTGTTTAAGATGTAAGGTAAAAACATTACCAAAATAACCCCAAACAAATTTAGAAGCTACAAAAATAAACCACCCTGTTTATTGTATTCCATACAGGCATTAAGGAAAAGTCCATCGGAAGAGAAGAGCCTTTGCCTGCTTGTGGAGCAGCAACAGAGAAAGCCCTCTCCTACGTCTCAACCAAGCACACTTGTGAGAATGGTGGGACAGAGAGAAAAGCCTCCCCTGATAATCCTAACAAATGGGCAGGCTCATAAAAGGTATGATTTTTTAGATGGCTTGTCCCAAAGCTTAGGAATTCATAGGTTAGAACCAGCAATTTGAATTGTGTCTGCAAATAAATCAGCAGGCAGTGGAACTGTGACAAGGGAGTTTTGTGATCCCTGTAACCAGTTAACAATCTGGCTGCAGCGTTTTGCACCCGCTGAAGTTTCCAAGCACTTTCCAGAAGCAGCCCCCACATAAAGCGTATTTCAGTAATCCAGCCAGGGTATAACTCGCCACTGTTAAAATAAAAATTGAAGGGTGACAAGAAAAACCTGCATGAGGCAGATTTACATCTTTGATTATTAAAACTCTTTACCTAATGGAATGTTAGGAACAGCCGCATAAGCATACTGTGTAGATTGTTGGCTAGAATTTCGCTACCCTCATTTTGCAGAATTTAACATGAAAGATTTGGGGGGGGGAGTGCTACTTTACCCCATGAGCACTCTGGGCTCTTTGCTCCATCCTGTGGCTGCTGTGTAGACACACAAACAACTCTAATTTGGTTAGTGTTGTGACATTTAGCTACATGTGGTACACAACTCTGGTTTGGTTTAAATAACCTTTCAGAGATCCCACCACACCCACTAGTTTTGATTGCAAATTTTTCAAGCTAGGGAATGTGTGTGGGAGGCGTTGAAGGAGGACAAAACCAAATGGAAATTTTTAACTTGGCAGCTGCCTTTTTTTTTTCTTTTTTCTTTTCTTTTTTTTTTTTTTTTTTTTTGAAGCATAGGGATAGTTCAATGACCCTCTGAAGCCTTTGGAAAGATATGAAGATGTACTCTTCTGGAATGAACCTCACTTTTATTATCCTACCACTTGCCTTCTCCCAGCTATAGCTGAAGATTTTGCATGGAACAAGAGCTCTCATGTGGAAACAATGGGTTTTTTTAAAGTAACAACATAACAAGTTATGATTCTCGCCCAGTAACAATAACTAATTCAATTTTCAAGCTCAAAAATCATTGCTGAAACATTCCAACTTCTGTTCCATCTATAGAATTCAACTTGGGCCAGTTGCTGAATTTTACTCTACTATCTGTAATAGTATAGTATCCTCCACTGCAGTAGTTCTGTCTTTTGTATCTTACATCCCACCACTCCTAAATAATATATGTTCCACCACAATGAGGGGAAGGACCACTTTTTCTAAGAAGGACATTAATATGCTTATAGGCATTCTGTTGTAATATTTATCATTTTATGGTAGTTTGGTCAATGGGGGTGTATTAGGAATAACACCTAAGTCACTGCTACCATGACAGAAGATATAGATGGATCACAAGTAGCGTGTAAATCAGTAGACTATACATCATACCTGCAGGAAGATTTGGGCGTTGAGGAACAGCGTGTTGCACTTAGAGTAGCATGGGTATGTGTACTATGGCTTGGGAAACTTCTTCACTGTAGCTAAGGTAGCAAGCTATAGAAGGATGCATAAAACTCTGTTCTCCAACAGTGAGGAAAAGCTGAATGTTCAAGAACAGCCTATGCAACATCTAATGCCTGAACCATTTCCCCAGCTCTTTGTGGTGACACTCTTTACACCTCCAAGAGGTTCCCTGTTCAGCACCTCAAGCTAAATGTTTGAGCAACTATATCGCATGTTCAGAAAAAAATCAGGATAAGGCAACAGCCGTCTCCATCTAAGAAGCTACACAGGGCCCCCAACAGTGGCCATTAAACTTTTGGGGACTTTAATATAAACATATAGTTTTGGAAATACCCATGAGAACTTGGTACACAGCCTAAGGAAGAAGAATTATCATTGAAAGCTTGCTTTATTTTGTTTTATCTTCTTTATGGTCCAATAAAAGTATCACCTGCTCCTGCATTTGTACCACATTTGTAGTCATCGAATAAGTATGGCTATACAGTAATTTATTATATTATGGTACCTATATTGTATAACTTATTTGAAACCACAATATAAATAATAGAAGATATGTTTATCTCTGTATTGTGTGGTGGCCTGTCTTTCTCAGGTTTGTTGCTACAATGCAGGAGTTCAGCCCTTTAGAGACGGGTACAACCATAGGTCTGATGCTGCTACATTCTATATGTGAACATGCAATACAGTATTCACTACATAATATTCTCCTTATAGTCATTATCTCAGGAAGTGGTGAGCTCTCCAATACAATTCAAGAAAAAGCTGGATGGTTATCTATCAGATATAATTTAGCTTAGATTCCTATATTCAGCAGGAAGTTGGACTCAATGGGCTTTTAGGCCCCTTCCAACTATGCTTCTATGTCTAGAAGAGTTAGGGAGAGGAAATGATAAAATTATGAACATTGAAGAAATATTCCTGTATATTGGAGGTGGGCAATTTATTTGGCTGCAACTCCCATTGCTTTTTAGCACTGGCTATACTGGTCAGGGCTGATAAGAGTATATATATTAGGCTCTTCAGCCACCCATGGCTGGCTAGAACACGTGATTTGGGTAGATCTAGTTGGGAGGAGGAGTTCTGCTAGATATTGAGGTCCTAAACCGTTTAGGGCTTTATATGTCATCATTAACACCTTGAAATCAATGTGGAAATGAATAGGCAGCCAATGCAAGGCAGCCAGAGTGGGGGAAATATGTGGATATTTTCTCACCCCAGTAAGAAGCCTGGCCGCCACATTCTGCACCATTTGAAGCTTCCGCATCAATCTCAAAGGTAGCCTCACACAGAGCGCATTACAGTAGTTTAATCTCGAGATTACAAGCGCTTGGACCAGAGTGATGAGCGCCCCAACATCAAGATAGGGTAATCCGCCAGAGATGGAAATAGGCGGAGCGGACCACAGATACTACCTGGGTTTCCATGGTGAGCGTTGAATCCAGATGGACCCCAAGCTGCGAACCCCACTCTTGGTGGCAAGAGTCACCCCCCGAAAGAGAGTTTCCCAAACCACAGATGATGGGGCCACCGACCCTCAGGACCTCAGTCTTGTCCGGGTTCAGCCTCAGTCCATTCTCCTGCATCGATTGTATTACAGCTTCCAGGCACGGTTGAAGAGACAAAACATCATTCACTGTTGTTGGAAAAAAAAGGAGATGTAGAGCTGGGTGTCATCAACGTACTGATGACATGAAGCCCCACACCTCCTGATGACCCCACCCAGTGGCCTCATACAG